CCTCATCGCCATGCGCCTGCCTGACCGCTTAGCCATTGCCCGCGACCACTTCCTTAGCCAGCACCCTGCCGACCTCACCCTGACCACCTTTGTCACTACTCTGTCTGATATAGAGACTCGCCAGTGCACTATCGCTCAGTCGAGCGGTGTTGCGGCAGTCCCTATCTTTCAGGGATGTGCCCCCTTCTAGTGCACGTACGCTGACGTCTCTGCCGCAGTTGCCACGATTGTGCCTGCACCTGAGACAGCGGCTGCGCCTTACCCGCAGCAGCGCCAGCGCTGGGGCCGCCGTGGCCCCAAGGGAGGACGTGGAGGTGGCGCTATAGGTGGTGGTGGCGGGGACAGTGGTTCTGACAAGGGGGTTGGTGCTAGTGCCCAGGAGCAGTAGCAGCTGCAGCAGCAGCAGCAGCCGTCACAGCAACAGCAGCAGCAGCACCAGCACCAGCGGCAGCAGCAACCGTGGGCTCGTCTCCCGCCCTGGTGGCCAGGAGCCCCTGGCGGTGGTGGTCGTGGTGGTGGCCCTCGCAGCACCGGCAGCTTCGGTGCTGTGAGCTGCCAGTACCAGCTTTAGACCGGGCCCCTGCGTGGCACGGTGTGCCACCGCTCGCACCCCACCACCCGCTGCTTCCGCCGCCTCGACGACCTCTTCCGTCGCCGCTTTGGTCCTGCCCCGGACCTCCCTGACTGACCCAGCCTGCTGCGCCACAGTGTGCCTGTGTTTGACTTAGATATGGATCAGATTAGTTCTGCCTTGCATTCTCTGTATGCTGACGCTTCGAGTGTTTCCGGATCGTATTACTCTGTGTTCTCTAGCTTAGGCGTAGCACCTGTGTGTAGTCCAGACTCCCCTACTGCGTCAGGCGTAGGACAGCTTGCTTTGTCTAGCCTAGGCTCTACCCTTGCTCCTCCATCGTTGGCCACTACGGCGTCACTGTCCTTCACTCTAGACTCTGGTGCGTCAGCCTGTTTCTTCCGTGACCACGCCGCCCTCACGCCGCTTGCTGCGCGTGCCGCTGTCGCCCTTGCGGACCCCTCCTCTGGTCCTGTAATTGCTCGCAGCTACACTACCCTTCCCTGTCCGGCGGTTCCCTCGGGTTCCCTTACAGGCCTGCACATTCCTTCGTTCTCCAGGAACTTAGTTGGTGTCGGCTGTCTTCAGGACCTCGGCGTCATCACTACGTTCCCTGGTCACGAGCGGTACGCGGTCTGTTCCGAGGCCGCCTCAGGTGCCCCCCTTGCGACATTCCCCCGGGACCCTGTGTCCGGCCTGTTTATGCTGGACACTGCTCCCCCCCCGGCGGGCGAGTCCTCCTTCGGTCCTGCGTCCACCCAGGTAGCTGCGGCCTGCTCGTGTAGGTCGCTCACTCACCCGTCCCTGTTGTGGCACCACCGTCTAGGTCACCCCGTGCTCCCCCGCCTACGTCACATGTCTCAGCACGGTCTAGTTCTCGGCCTCCCTGCGTCGCTCCCTGCTCTCCCTCCCTCGCCTGCTCCGCCGTGCACGCCCTGCGTCGAGGGCCGGCTGCGTCGTGCTCCTCACTCCTCCTCACTTCGCCCTTCCACTGGACCCCTTCCGACTCTGCACTTAGACGTCTGGGGCCCAGCCCCTGTCCCTGGGCCGCGTCGCGAGCGCTACTTTCTTGTGCTCGTTGATGACTTCACGCACTACACCACGGTGTTTCCCCTGGAGCGGAAGGCCGAAGTGCCTGACGTTCTTATCCCGTGGGTCGTAGCCGCGCGCCTCCACCGCGGTCTCCCTGTGCTGTGTCTCCACTCCGACCGGGCGAGTTCGCCTCCGGTCGACTGGGTCAGTTCTGTCGTGCGGAGGGTATCACCCAGACGTACACCCTACCGGACTCCCTGCAGCAGAATTGGGTCGCTGAGCGACGCATCGGTTTGGTCATGGAGGTGGCTCGTACCTCCATGATCCATGCCGGTGCACCCCATTTTCTGTGGCCGTTCGCCGTTCGCTATGCCGCTCACCAGCTTTGTCACAGGATCGAATGTCTAGAGGAAAGACTGCATAATCGATGAGTACAAGGCGCTTTTATACTTCCAGGGTACATCAGGTAACCAGGTTTATCCTATCCAAGGGAATAGACCCTTCTAGAATATAGAATCACCCTGCGTATAGCCACGCGAGGCTATTGGCTGTAGGGGATTACGGCAGGATTACGCTAGATATAGCGCCCCAGTACATCCCAAGCCTGGTCGGTGATATAATTATAATAGCAGGATAAACCAAAGGATAATGGAAAATAGAGGAATAGGAAACCAAATGAGATGAGATAAAGACCAAATGAAAAGAGGAATGAAATAGAATTGAAATATGGAGAGTTAAGTGGTGTAACGGGGTCGTACTCTCACAAGCTTCTGGCCTCGCTCTCAGCGGCCACAGGTTTCGCCGACCCTCCTTTGGACCGGGTTCCCTGGTGACGCGTCTGCGTTCCACGTCTGGGGCTGCCTTGCTCACGTTCATGCCTCCGGCGCGAACAAGCTCACTGCCCGCACAGTCCCCTGTGTCTTCCTTGGTTTCCCCCTTGACTCATCTGACGGGCACTTCTACCACCCGCCGTCTCACCGCTTCCTTCATTCCCGTGACGCCACTTTCGACAAGTCTGTCTCCTTTTTCCACCGCTTTCCTCACCGAGGTCTCCCGGTTCCCCCCCCCCCAGTTTCTGGTTCCCACTCCCCCGGTCGCCCCTGCTCCCGTCCCTCCCCATCGTGCTCCGTCTGGTGTGTCTCAAGTCACTCCCCTCCCGTCGGTTGTCCCGGTCGAGGAGTCGGCTGACTCCGGTGGCCCCGCGGCGCAGTCTGCGCCGCCTGTCCCTCCCTCGGTGACTCCTCCTCCCTCGTCGCAGTCGCCGCCGCAGCCGCAGCCGTCACCGCAGCCGAAGCCGCCGCCGCTGCCGCCGCCGTCAGCGCTGCCGCAGCCGCAGCCGTCGCCGCAGCCGCAGCCGTTCGTGGACTTTGGGGGTGCTGGAGTTGGAGAGGGTGCTAATCCTGGGGCTCCTGTCGTGGCTTGTCCCGGCGGGCTCGGGGGTGGCACCAGCGCTGGAGACGTTTCTCGTTCTGGGGGTGCTGGCGTGGAGTGTACCCGAGGCAGCAGTGGTGCAGCTGGTGGTCCAGGTGTCAGCGTTGAGCAGCAGCAGCAGCAGCAGTCGCCGCCGGTGTCCGCCCTTCGCCTGCTCGACCTTCCCTCCTCTGACCGCTCGCCTGCCCCTCCCTCGCCGTCTCCCCCTCTTCCTGTTCACGGTTCTGTGTTTTCTCCGCCAGACTCGTCCCCGGCTCGTTTTCCCTCTCGTTCCCCTCCTGTTACTCCCCCTCTGTCTCCTGACCCGACGCCTCGGGATGTCTCTGAGGTCGCCTCAGCGTAAGGTCCCGAGGTCGCCTCGCCTTGGGGAGGCGACCTCGGGACCTTGGGCCTCTCAGTGGATAGCTGCCATGGAGTAGGAGATGGCATCTTGGAGGGCTACCGGCACCTACGTCGACGCAGCTCCCCCATGTGGGGTGAACGTAGTCGATGGCCGCTGGCTCTTCAAGATGAAGCGCCCTCCTGGAAAGCCGCCCGTGTTCAAGGCGCGCTACGTGGCTAGAGGCTTCAGTCAGCGAGAGGGGGTGGACTTCTTTCAGACCTTCGCCCCGACCCCGAAGATGACTACAATCGGGCGCTACTACACGTAGCAGCACAGCGTGACTACGAGCTTCACTCCCTCGAATTCTCCACTGCTTTCCTTCAGGGCAGCCTACACGAGCAGGTCTAACTGCGCCGCCCTCAGGGCTTCACCGGTACTTTCCCTCCTAGGACCCGGTGGCTCCTCCGGCGCCCCGTCTACGGCTTGCGACAGGTGCCCCGTGAGTGGCACAACACGCTGCGTGCCACATTAGCTGACCTGCAGTTCTTTCCGTTCTCTGCTCACCCTTCGCTCTTCGTTCGTGCTGGCCAGACTCCGTTCTACATCCTGGTCTACGTAGACGACCTGGTCTTTGCTACAGCAGACAGAGACGCGCTGGCCTCCATGAAGGCTGAGCTGCTGAGGCAGCACACCTGCAGTGACCTGGGAGAGCTGCGCCGCTACCTTGGCCTGCAGATCTCCAGGGACAGAGCAGCGCGCACCATCACACTTACACATTCACATTTGGTGCGCCAGGTCCTTCAGAGGTTCGGCCTTACGTTCTCCTCCGCACAGCCCACTCCTCTGCCCCTAGACCACAGGCTCTCAGTTCCAGTTCCCGAGGAGTCTGCAGAGCCCAGTGGTCCTTACGCAAAGCTGGTGGGTTGCCTCATGTACCTGATAACTTGCACTCGTCCAGATCTCGCATACCCTCTCAGCATCCTGGCTCGCTTTGTGGCCACACGTAGATACCGACCACATGACTGGTTGGCCGCTAAGAGGGTTTTGCGTTATCTTGCAAGTACATTGGGCATGGGACTAGTGCTCGGAGGACGTAGGCCAGTGGTCCTTACTGGGCACATAGACGCTTCTTGGGCAGACGACGCTGAGACCCACCGGTCCTCCCAGGGCTACTGTTTCAGCCTTGGTTGTGGTGCCATCTCGTGGAGGTCCACTCGCTCCTCGTCTGTTGCTCAATCTAGCTGCGAGGCTGAGATCTACGCCAGTGCCATGGCGGCACAGGAGCTCCGCTGGCTGACCTTCTTGCTCACTGACTTAGGTGAGCGGCCTAGCTCTGCCCCGGTCCTGTACGCAGACAACACGGCCATGTGTTAGGATTAAGGACAGAGTCTAGGTGAACTTAGGAGCTAGAATTACTCAAAATATAAATCCGAAATTCTGGACAGAAAAGTCGTCTTCACAAGAAACGACGTCGACAAAAACCTAGCCGTTGGAATGTCGCGAAACTTGGATATGTTGTAGCTCTTAATCTCAGCTACCGTTCCCAATTTGAATCACGTTGATTGATGAAGTATTCGCGACGCTATGGCTTTCGACGCACTAGGGGGTAAGCTGTAGGAGGAGAACTTAACTCAATCTCAAGAGTTCAAAAAAGGTTCAAGAATCTCACAAGGAATTAGAAGGAGCAAGAGAAAGGTTGGGATAGATGGAGAGGGACGAGAGGGAAGGTCCCAAGAGAGTCCCCAACCAAGGAAACCCCATAAGCACAAAGATTCCCTCCCTATAGGAACCTCAACTTTGACCTTTGTCCCTTCCCAACCAATCCATCCAAGTTGGCCACCCTTGCCAACCTAGCTTGGTTGTTCCCAACCAATTTGCAGCTGTTACAGTAGAGTGACAAATTTCCCCAACCCCAAAGGTCCCAACTCCATATAAAGTCACCCCACAACTTCACTTTGTAACCGCCGCAATTGTAACGCAAGCTCATGAACTTTGAATCTTCATAGCTTTCGCGTTCTTGCTCCGATTGAAGCGATTCTTGTTGCGTCGGAAAGATCTTCTCAAGATCTATCATCACAAATACCTGCTCAGACAGAATAACACAAAACACATTCCCAAACTCCAGAACACACCACACACAAATTCTTTCACACACAGTCAAACCATACATACGAATTGAAACAAGAGATGAGAGGCAGACAGAATGTGATAGCATATGATGACATCACACAACAATCTCCCCCTCTGGCTGCCAACCATCATCCACCATACCACATCTCAAGCATGCATACTCAATGCACACTCATCCCAGCAAGCTTCATGCCCTTCCAATGATCCGCCTCCGCCAGACGCTTAGTGAAAATATCTGCTGCCTGCTGATGGGTCTTCACTATCTCCAGCCGCACCTCCTTATCAAGGATTCTCCTCACCCAATGCCACTTAGGCCTTATGTGTTTTGTCAGCCCATGCAGACAAGCATTCTTGGCCAGCTTCACTGCAGACTCATTGTCACAGAACACAACTGTCGGCTCCTCCTGACCAACTCCCAACTCCTCCAACAAACGCCTCAGCCATACCACTTCCTTGGCCCCATGGTGTAAGGCCATGTACTCAGTCTCACATGAAGACAATCCCACCTCATTTTGCTTCTTGCTGCGCCAGCTCACAGCACCACCTCCTAGCAAGCACACATAACCCCCAATGCTGGTGCCATCCGCTTTCACTGAGTTGAAGCTAGCGTCAGTATAGCAACTCAAGAGCATTTCGCCACTCTTCACATCTGCGGCACCTCTCTGCAACCGCTGCCTCACTCCACTGTACTCCAATCCCACTGATGCCGTAGCACTCACATAGCGGACCAACCTCTTGGCCGCTTCCAGCTGCTCATGACTAGGACGTGAAACCACGCTAGCCAGTCGTGATGTAGCAAATGCAATGTCAGGCCGTGTATGATTTGCAGCATAATTCAGCGACCCAACCATCGAATGAAACAGCTTCCTGTCACTATCACCCACTACCTCCTCATCAGCACATGGCTCAACAGTGAACCCCGAAGGTAGTGGTGTTGCTGGCTTTCCCCCATCTTGCAGCCCATACTTTTCAGCCAGCCCCTCACAGTACTTCCTCTGGTGCAACCTCAGCACACCTTTCTCCACATCTCTCTCCACATGCATCCCCAAGTAGTACTTCACCTCACCCATCTTGGAACACTTGAACTGCATCTCTAGCATCTGCTCTGCGCTGTCCAGCAAAGCAGTTGATGCAGAAAAGAGAAGGATATCATCCACGTACACCAAGAGCATGAGGATTTCATCCTTCTCCTGCAGCAGGAACAGGCTGGGGTCACACTCACTCTTCTTGAAACCCCCAGCCAACAGCGCCTCCTCCAACTTGTGATACCATGCACGAGGCGCCTGCTTAAGGCCATAGATGGCCTTCTTCAGCCTGCAGACCCTGCCGCTCCCATCATCCAGCCCCTCTGGCTGCTTCATGTACACCTCCTCCAGAATGATCCCATTCAGAAAGGCAGTCACAATGTCCATCTGCCGTATCTTCCATCCCAGGAGTGCAGCTATCGCCAACAGCACCCTCAGTGTTGTTCCTTTCCCCACAGGAGCAAACACCTCATCATAGTCCTTCCCCTTTGTCTGCTGAAACCCCCGTGCCACAAGCCTAGACTTGTAGCGGGTCAGCTCCCCTTCAGGTCCATACTTGTGCCTGTAGATCATCTTGGAAGTGATTGCCTTCTTCCCAGGAGGCAAGTCACACAGGTCCCATGTCTCGTTTTCAATCAGGGACCCGAACTCCTCATCCTCACTCGCCTTCCACTTCTCCCCATTTGGTCCATTCAAGGCCTCCTCTCGAGTCTTGGGCTCAGGGATTGGTGCCCAGTAGCAGTGAGCGATCTCATCTTCCTCAATCTGCTCAACCACGCTCCCAGCCTGCACCACATTTGGCTTGCCTCTTCCCCCATAGGTCAGCCTCACCGGAGGGCGCACATCCCTCCTAGGTCGCTCAGGCGGGTGTGGAACTCGAGGTGGAGACTCATGCTGCTGCTGCTGCTCCTGCTGCTGCTGCTGCTCCACTTCAGCTGCTCCCCCTTCCTCAGTCACCCCAGACATCTCCTCCTCTGACACTGCAACCTCCACCTGTCTTGAAGGCTGCTGCACCTCATCTGCCTCCACAATGAGCGGTGTAGATGGAAGCTTCTGTTGCTGCTGCTTCCATTCCTTGTAGTACAGGGACTCAAGAAACTTCACATCCCTTGACACTGTCAACTTCTGGGTGGTCAAGTCCCATAGCAGCCACCCCTTGTGATCCTTTGCAATCCCCAAGTGCACACCCCATCTTCCAGAAGCCTCCAACTTCCCCCTTTTCTCCTTGGGCACATGAAACACCACCATGCACCCAAATGCCCTCAGCATGTTCACAGCTGGAGCACTCCCATACCACTTGACATATGGGATCCACTCCTTATCTCCAACTGTAGCCAGCACCCTGTTCTTCACAAGGGCGACCTGCCTCAGTGCAGACACCCAAAACGGATCAGGCAGCCCTGCACGCCCAAGGAGAGTGCGTGCCCCCTCCTGCAGGGTCCTGTTGAACCTCTCAGCCACGCCATTCTGCTGTGGGTTGTAGGGCACTGTCAGTTGATGCTGGATCCCCTTCCTCTTCAACTCCCCCTCAAAATCAGCTCCAATGAACTCCCCACCATTGTCACTACGGATCACCTTCACCTTGTGTCCGCATTCCCTCTGAGCTCTAGGCATCCACTCCTTAAGGACAGCCGCTGCCACCTCCCCCTTGCTCTTCAAAGGGTAAACCCACACTGCCCGAGTGTGGTCATCTACAATTGTCAAGAAATAGCGGCTGCCTGAGAGGGAAGGGGCTCTTGTGGGCCCCACCACATCCATGTGCACAAGTGCAAGTGGGGTCTTGGCTGGTCCTGTAGTGCTGTTGAAGGGGAACTTGGAGAACTTGGTCTCCAAGCATGTAGGACAGCTCCCAATCTCCTTCACTTCCCCTTTCACCTCCAAGCCCTTCAGGCTCCCATTCTTCACCAACTTCTGCAGCATAGGGAAGTTCACATGACACAACCTCTCATGCCATGTCTCCCAATCGGCCTCTCCACTCCTTGATGAAGCCTTAGCCCATGCCGCACTCGCATCCACACCAGCAAGCACCTCACCATGTGTCTGCTGCTTCTGCACTTTCTTGACTGCTTCCAGGACCCCATCATTTGGTGCAGTTGCATCTCCTCCTGCTGTTGCCTTTGCCGCTGCTGCCGTTGCTGCTGTTGGAGTCTTCCCATTCCATGGGATGATGGGCAGCTGCCACAGGTCCTTGATGCAGCTGGTCTCCTCTTCCAGACTCCACAGCACCTTCTTCCCAAGCTTAGCACGGCAGCTGGTTGGTCCAAAGGTCACTTCGGCCTTGCTCTTCTGCAGTCGCCGCACAGAGAGAAGGTTAGCAGACAAACCTTCAACTAGCAGAACATTCCCAAGCCCCACAAGCTCCCCATTAGCTCCCTTAACCTTGGCATTCCCAACGCCAATCACAGGGAGCAAAGCACCTGACGCTGCTGCCACATACTTGATCTTCCCAGGGGGTTTTACCTCATCAAGCAAATCTGCCCGTGGGGTCATGTGACTGATGCAACCCGAATCAATCACCCAGTGCATGAGAGGGTGCATCACAACCTTTCCCACAGATCCCACATCACCCTCATGCCCATGCACATCCTCAACCATAAGAAACAAACCAGGATAGGCATTACCTTGTGCACCTTCACCTTGTGCACCTGAGCCTTGCACAGCGCCACCTTGTGCGCGTTCACCACTGGGCGGCTTCATGCCTGGAGGTGCCCATCCCTCCGGCCTGCTGAAGCACTTGAACCAAGGATGCCCGACCTTCTTGCAGTACCAGCAGGTGCCCTCCATTCTGGTACTCCCCCTGCCACTGGAGCTTCCATGCCCCTCATTATAGTCACCTCGGCCTCTACCTCTGCCAAAGCTCCTCCCACGGCCTCGGCCTCTCCAACCCCCTCTTCCTTTGCCGCGCCCTGCAGCTCCATACCCCTCAGCAGTCTTAGTGGCAGCACCGCCTCCCATATGGCGTCTGCGGAAGTCCTCCTGCAGAATCTGCTGCCTTAGCCACTCAGGTGTCCATTGATCTTGCTGAGAGTTGAGGGTGGGGATGAGGTTGTCCCAAGAGTTGTCCAACACCGAGATGATCTTGGTGCACTGCTGCAGCTGAGATACACTACTGCCCGCTGCTGCCATCCTTGCATAGGTGTCCTTGATCTTGTCAAGGACCGGCTTCACATCGTCCCCTGGTCGCATGGAGATGGCAGCAAGTTCCTTCTCGAGCACGATCACCATTGGGAGAGTGTTGGGCTGAATCACATCACGTAGTAGTTTCCACGCCCTTGGACCCGAATCATCCGCTTCCACAAGATCCTTGATGTGCTCGAACATCTCCTTGTTGACCGATTGAAGGATGAGGTCGAAAAGCACCGCGCTTTTCTCAATCCACCGTTCGCGTGCTTCGCCTTCTTCCGGCATCTTCTCTTCCCCAACAGCAATCTTCAGTAGCTTGTAGCGTTTGAAGGCACTCCTCATCCGTCCGCTCCATTCCTCATAGTTGGAGCCATCCAAAGCTTCAACTTTTGATGGCGGCGGCTCACTTGTCTTCTCAGCTACAGCTCCTCTTCCATTAGCATCTCCTCCTCTCTCATTCATCTTCTCCTTGAGAAATGACGAATTTCAGCTCCCCTTTGCTGTCCACACTCAGCTCCCTCGATATTTTCACAAGTATCGGCGTCCACGAAATTTCGGCAGAGTTTCCCCTTAGCGGAAGACACATCCAACCTTTAGAACACCACTTAGGCACACCCACAGGCCATGGTGGGTCTAGAAGGGTCTTCACACTTCTGTAGACTCCTCTCAATGTCCTTAATATGGCTCTGATACCACTTGTTAGGATTAAGGACAGAGTCTAGGTGAACTTAGGAGCTAGAATTACTCAAAATATAAATCCGAAATTCTGGACAGAAAAGTCGTCTTCACAAGAAACGACGTCGACAAAAACCTAGCCGTTGGAATGTCGCGAAACTTGGATATGTTGTAGCTCTTAATCTCAGCTACCGTTCCCAATTTGAATCACGTTGATTGATGAAGTATTCGCGACGCTATGGCTTTCGACGCACTAGGGGGTAAGCTGTAGGAGGAGAACTTAACTCAATCTCAAGAGTTCAAAAAAGGTTCAAGAATCTCACAAGGAATTAGAAGGAGCAAGAGAAAGGTTGGGATAGATGGAGAGGGACGAGAGGGAAGGTCCCAAGAGAGTCCCCAACCAAGGAAACCCCATAAGCACAAAGATTCCCTCCCTATAGGAACCTCAACTTTGACCTTTGTCCCTTCCCAACCAATCCATCCAAGTTGGCCACCCTTGCCAACCTAGCTTGGTTGTTCCCAACCAATTTGCAGCTGTTACAGTAGAGTGACAAATTTCCCCAACCCCAAAGGTCCCAACTCCATATAAAGTCACCCCACAACTTCACTTTGTAACCGCCGCAATTGTAACGCAAGCTCATGAACTTTGAATCTTCATAGCTTTCGCGTTCTTGCTCCGATTGAAGCGATTCTTGTTGCGTCGGAAAGATCTTCTCAAGATCTATCATCACAAATACCTGCTCAGACAGAATAACACAAAACACATTCCCAAACTCCAGAACACACCACACACAAATTCTTTCACACACAGTCAAACCATACATACGAATTGAAACAAGAGATGAGAGGCAGACAGAATGTGATAGCATATGATGACATCACACAACACCATGATCCTCCTGTATCATGAGCCTCGGCTTGAGGGCAGAGCGAAGCACATCCAACTGCGGTACTTCCTCCTGCGCGAGCTTCAGTAGCGTCGCTAGGCCCGCGTAGTACACTTGGCCTCCGGTGCCAACACAGCTGATATCTTTACTAAGGCGCTTCCGCCTAGAGATCATCAGTGGCACTGCTTCCAGTTTGGTCTAGTCCCTGCTGACTCTCACTTGCTAGGCCCTTGATTGTGTACTCCTTTCTATTTATGCCTTCCAGACTGGCCTTGTGGCTTCTTTCTCCAGTGATTGGACTAGTAGTGCAGCCCTAGTTTGCTCTGTCTTGCTTGTACTCTTGCTGACTGATCTTCGGGCCCCTGCCTCAGAGGTTGGACTAGTAGTGGCACCCTGAGCTGCGTGTTTCTTGCTCAGCACTACCCCTTATCTAGCCTAGGGGGTGTGTCAAGTTGTACATATATTGTTATGCAGAAGTTATAAGCTAGATAGGGTATGTTCTTAGTGGGTACAACCCAAATGCTATATCTCCTCTGTACTCCCTCTTTCCAACTATTCTTTCTAGTCTTAACACCTAACACCACGACGGACAGAGGTTTCCGACGTGATAGACATGCTGGAAATTTTACCTGACAAATCTGAAGGTGCACACGCTTCTAGTCGGAGGAGCTTTAATTAGCTCGCCTACCAACCGCTTGCCAACCCTCTATTTTGTCGGGTCCTCTCCCGATATAAACGGACTACTCTATGGAAGACTAAGCGGGCAGGAACGGAGCTCTGATACCAGCTGTTATGAATTACTTAGAGTAATAACATGTAGTATAATAAATGAGTCGTGATTCAAGGGTGTCAATACAAATGAGGGCCTAGGCATTTATAGGCACGAACAGAGCTAGCCGAGAACCACGCAAACAGGTTGGGGCGGTCCGGTTGGTGAAAGCCACGGAAGCGCTGCACATATAGGTTTGGGTTCGCGAAATGGTTCGGGACCGAAGAAGTTGGCCGGGCCTGGACTTCCGAGAATCGATGGCGTACGCACTGCAGTCGAGCCCAGTAAGAAAAGGAAATTTCCTTGCATCTTTCGTGCAACTCTCAATACAGGTACGGACCCGACCTAGATGGGCCACAACTAGCACTCCTTATTGAAGAGTTCGTTGCATTCGCCTCTAAGGCGGCATCCAATAGCGCGAATAGCTCTGCGAGAGCATCAGTCTCACAACCTGTTCACAAGCTAGTCGCGCGTGGCTATGGACAGGGTCGTTGCGCCTGCAGTGTCGCAAGCCTGTGTCAGACTTCCCACAACTCCGGCCGAACCGCGCCACAATCTGCCTGCTGCTGGAGGCTACTAATTTTGTTAGCAGGCTAATGGAATGAGAGGTCCTTAGGTCATGCACGCATTGATTACGAACCAAATCACAATAGTAAAGCAAGGCAATACAGGCGGCCGATAATAGCTTTCCTTTTGTTGCATTTAGGCTAGTTCGCTTCATTGTTCGCCTCTTTATTGAGGAGACTCTTCTCTGCCTCTGCAGAGAGAGAGCTCCTGGGTTAGCTAGTTTTGGGTACTAGCTACACGTTGACTGCGGGCGGATAGCCTCCAGGTGGCGGGTAGGCTGCCCCCGCGGGCGGGGCGTTGGCGGCGTATTTCGCCTCGGCCTGCTGGCGGTTGCGCCTCAACACGCAGAAGACGACGAGAACGATCAGGCTTATGCCGAGAGAGACTCCGAGCCATAGCAGCGTGCGCGGCCAGCAGGCGTAACTGCACTGCCCTGCAGCGGGAAAGAAAGAATGGGAGAAAAGAGGGGGGGAAAGGCTCTGAGGCGGCGCAGGCAGCAGAATACGGCGAAAACACCAAGGGCCGAGACGAACGAGATTCCGACCCATAGCAGCATGCGCGACCAGCAGGAGTAGCTGCACTGCCGTGCAGCAGGAAAGAAAGTAGCGGGCGAAGAGGGGTGAAAACGGGGAGGAGCGGGCGGAAGCGCTTTTTACTCTCGAAGTATCAGAATTGAAGTGAAAGAATTCTACTGGTTTTTTTTTTTTCGAAACGGATTCACTCCGACGTTGCGGCTTGCAACGTCTACGCCGGGTCCACAATCGCCGTAGAACATCACGATATACATCACAAGCGCCGGGTCCACAATTGCGGACTTACAGTGCGTCGCGCTTTGATCCTCGAAGCTGGCGATGCACAGGAAAGGTTTGGTTGACGCCTCGCACGTCTGTGAAAAAAGAGCGAGGGGAGAGGAGGGGGAAGGAAGAGGGAAGAGAGAGCATTGATTGGCAATGGACGACGAAATCTAACATCGATCGTGGCGAAAATCAAAGCAACACAACGATTGTCGGTATGGCTTCGATTGTTGGAATGCCGTGGGAAAAAATAATTTGCAGGGGGTACGCGGAGGTAGCGGATTGCCGTGGGAAGAATAATTTGAATGGATACCTGACATTGGGGGAGGCAATTCGTGTCTGGGTATTTCCCACAGAACGAGGAGCAGTCGGTGCCATATGCGACGTCCAAGAGCAGAACCAGAACGAAAGCCGAGAGCAAGAAGCGACGAACTGACGTTCCCGAGTTGAAAGCCATCGGAACAGGAGCGACGAGTTGACGTTCCGGCGGACGAGGGCCAGACGGCTGTGAGAAGATGGTTGAAGGTACTATATTCGTCAGATGTGCTGAGATTAGAACAGGGGTGTTCTTTGCTAGAGGAAGACCGAGAGGATGAGGTGTAAAAACAAAGCCGCGCCTGCGCCACTTATAAGCTCCCTTGAAGGAAGTTCCCTCGTGGTCAGCCGAGTGGGAGAGTTTGGCAAGCTGTCTCGGCTTCGCAGCGCTCCCAATAATTGTGTTCCATCAAAGTGATCTGGACTGCAATCGATTTCGGACGAAACGAACAGACATACAGACGTCCTTATCGCGTACATGCGTCGGCGCGGCTCGGATAATCCACTACCTTTGGTCACCCTCCAATAATTCTAGCCGCCGAGACTCTCGGCAGCTCTTATTCCATACACTATTATTCAGAAACTACATGTTGAAAGAGACGAAGGAAATGCAAACCATCATGTAGTTTTCACATGAACAAGTTAAATTGCATAACGTTAGGCGGTCCGAGATATGGATTTCTTGTCTTCTAATGTGCAACAAAGGTGTGACGCATAATCACATCACATATTTTTTTGTTACCTCAGCCATTCCCCCAACCACAGCCCCACGTGAAACAATTGCCAAACATATCTTTATATGTAATATAGCATGTATAGGGTCGTACCTTAGAAGGTACAAACTCCTTAGCATATATTGCCATGTATGCTATGATTTCATATTATTACTTTACGCTAAGATGGTATCACGAATAGGCCCCATTCCCCCCCCCCCCCCCCCCCCCCCCCCCCCCGCCCACCGTTTCCGCCCTAGGCTCGCGTCGCTCCCGTAGATCAGCCGGCCCCGTTTCCTCGCTGGCCCCGTCACCTCGCGGGCCCCGTCTCCCAGCCGGCCCCATCATTTCGCGGGTCCCGTTCTTTTAGACGGAACCGTCGTACAACCGGCCCCTTCGTCTAGCCGGCCCTGTTCCTAGCCGCCAGCCCCTTCGTCTAGCCGGCCCCGTTCCTAGCCGCCAGCCCCGCCCCTTTGCCGCTGGCCTCGTCACCTAATCGCAGGCCCCGTAGCCTAGCCGCCGACCCCGTTAGCTAGCCCCGACCCCATCAGCTAGGCCCCGCCCCCTGCAGCTAAGCCCGGCCCCGTCAGCTAGCCCCGGCCCCCTGCAGCTAGCCCCAGCGCCGTCAGCTAGCCCTGGCCCCCTGTAGCTAGCCCCGACCCCGTCAGCTACAGTAGCCCCGACCCCTTGCAGCAAGCCCCGGCCCCCCTGCAGCTAGCCCCGGCCCCGTCAGCTAGCCCCGGCCTCGTCAGCTAGCCCCGGACTCGTCAGCTAGCCCCGGCCCCCTGCAGCTAGCCCCGGCCCCGTCAGCTAGCCCATCACCCAGCTGGCCCCAACCGCACAGCACCCCTCTCCGGAGTACTGCCCCACTCCCCAACTGCACTACGCCGCTCTCAACCGCAGTGCACTGCTCCTAACCGCCCTCCACCGCTCCTAATCGCCCTCCAACGCTCCTAACCGCCCTCCACTGCACATAACCGCGCTCCACCGCTCCTCACCGCATTGCACTTCTCCTAACCCCACGGCACCCCTCGTACCCGTGCTTCACCGCTCCTTCCCGTCCTGCACCGCACTCCTTTGCTCACCTCATCTCACTGCCGCTTGTCTGCTGCAGCCTCGACCGTGATTGCGGATTCAGTTCTGCACTTTGACGCCGAGGGTCAACCTCTCGAGTTCGACACGTGGATCCTCGACCTCCGCCACCAGCTCACTGGTCAACGGCAGGACGGCCACTCCCTGGCAGTCCACCTTGACGGTACGCTTCCCTGCCCTGACTCCCCTGCTCCTCTACCTGCTGACCCCACGTCTGCCGACCGTGACTCTACTACCGCTGCTGTGCTTGCCCGCTCTGTCTGGTTGTCTTGTGACGCTGTCGCCCAGCTAGTGATCAGCCACGCCCTGCCCCTGTCTGAGCGCCCCCGCTTTAGGTCGGTCAGGACTGCCAAGGAATTCCTAGAGGTCGTTGTCGCGCGCTATTCTACCCCGCCCGCTGCCTCCGTCGGCCGCCTGATCCTGCCTATGCTCTTCCCTGACCCCGCCTCTTTCCCCACTGTCGCTGACCTGGCCACGCACTTGCGCACTCTAGATGCGACCTGGCAGGGTGCCTGCACTGAGGCCCAGCTTCGTGTGTTCCAGCCCCCCCTCACCTCCACCCTCTACCTGCTTGCCACCCGCCTCCCTGACCGCCTTGCCACTGCCCGCGACCACTTTCTGAGTCTCCACCCCGCTGACCTTACCCTTACTGACTTCGTAGACACCCTGACTGCCATAGAGACCCGTCAGCGCTCTATCGCCCAGTCTAGCGGTAGTGCGCCGGTCCCTATCTTTCAGGGTCGTGCCCCCGCCCAGTGCTCTTACTCTGCTGGTTCTGCTGTTGTCGCTGAGACCGCCCCTGTGGCGGACACAGCCACTGTGGCGCAGTTCTATCCGGGTAAGGGGCGTCGCCCCAAGGCTGGGCGCGACGGGGGTAGCGGAGGAGGGGATGGAGGCGGTGGCGGTGGCGGGTCGCCAGCTGGTAGTACTGACGAGGGGACTGGGGCTGGTGCTTCCGCACAGCAGCCTCAGCAGCAGCATCAGTAGCAGGTGCCCTCCCTGGACCAGCAGCAGCAGCAGCAGCGACGGGTCGGTCGTCTCCCGCCCGGGTGGCTCGGCGCCGGTGGTGGAGGTGGCAGCAGTGGTCGTGCGAGCAGTGTGTCGTCGGGTGGTGGTGCGAGTGACGGGCGCTACCAGTACCAGCTCCAAACCGGTCCTCACCGTGGCCTCGTGTGCGGTAAGATCGGTCATACCCTTGCTCGCTGTTTCCGTCGCCTGTACGACATGTTTCGTCTCCGCTTCGGCCCGGCGCCGGACCTTCCCGACTGGCACAGTCTTCTACGCCGTCATGTTAGGATCTTTGACATGGATATGGATGCGATTAGCTCTGCCTTGTATGCCTTGTAACTTGATGACTCTACTGTAATTGGTTCCTATTGCCCTGTGTTACCTAGTATAGGTGTGCCCAGTGTGTCTAGTTCAGACTCCCCTGCTGTGTCAGGCGTAGGATCCCCTCCCCTGTTTAGCCTTGGCTCCACCCTTGCTTCTCCGACGCCAGTTGCCTCTGCCGCGCTCTCCTTCGCTCTCGACTCCGGCACGTCCCAGTGTTTCTTCTGGGACTCCACCACACTTACACCGCTTGCCGCTCCAACCGCAGTTGCCCTTGCCGACCCTTCCTCCGGCCCAGTAGTCGCTCGTAGTTCCACCACCCTCCCCTGTTCGGCGGTTCCCTCGGGCTCTCTTACAGGCTTGCACATCCCCTCGTTCTCTAGGAACCTAGTTGGTGTCGGCCGCCTCCAGGACCTCCGGGTCACCACTACGTTTCCTGGTCACGAGCGGTACGTAGTCTGTACCGAGGCCGCCACTGGTGCTCCCCTCACCACGTTCCCCCGGGACCTGGTGTCTGGCCTGTTCACGTTGGACACCGTGTCCCCCCTGGCCGGGACGTTTTCCCAAGTGGCTGCGTTTACCCAGGTTGCTGCGGCTTGCTCGTGTGGGTCGCTTACTCACCCGTCATTTTTGTGGCACCACCGTCTAGGTCAACCTGCTCTCCCCCGCCTTCGTCACATGTCTGAGTACGGTCTTGTCCTAGGTCTCCCTGAATCGTTCCCTACGCTCCCCCCCTCTCCTGCGCCATTGTGCACTCCCTGCCTCGAGGGTCGGCTTTGCCGTGCCCCCCACTCCTCCTCATTCCCCACCTCCACCGCACCACTACAGACCCTGCACATGGACGTTTGGGGCCCCGCCCCGGTCCATGGGCCGCGTCGCGAGCACTACTTTTTAGTGTTTGTCGACAACTACACGCGCTATACCACAGTGTTCCCCCTGGAGCGGAAGGCCGACGTGCCTGGCGTCCTTCTCCCGTGGCTTGTCTCTACGCGTGTTCACCGAGGTCTCCCTGTGTTGCGTCTTCACTCTGACCGTGGTGGCGAGTTCGCCTCTGGTTCCCTTGGTCGTTTCTGTGGTGCGGAGGGCATCAACCAGACGTACACCCTGTCGGAATCCCCGCAGCAGAATGGGGTCGCTGAGCGACACATCGGCTTGGTCATGGAGGTGGCTCGTACCTCCATGATCCATGCCGGTGCACCCCATTTCCTGTGGCCGTTCGCTGTTCGCTACGCCGCTCACCAACTTAGCTTGTGGCCGCACACTCAGCGGCCGCAGGTTTCGCCGACCCTCCTCTGGACCGGGTCTCCTGGTGACGCGTCTGCGTTCCACGTAGGGGCTGCCTTGCTCACGTTCGTGCCTCCGGTACGGGCAAGCTCACTGCCCGCACAGTCCCCTGTGTCTTCCTAGGTTTTCCCCTCGACTCGTCGGACTGGCACTTCTACCACCCGCTGTCTCACCGCTTCTTTCACTCTCGCGACGTTATCTTTGACGAGTCCGTCTCCTTCTACCACCGCTGTCCCCACCGTGGTCCCCGGGTTACCTCCCCACTGTTTCTGGTTCCACCCACCCCCCCCGTCGGCCCTCCATTCCTCGCTCCCTGCGCTGCCCCGTCTGCTGTGTCCCACGTCACCCCCCCCCCCCCGTCTAGTGTCCCTGTCGATGAGTCTGCTAACTCCCGCGGCTCTGTGGAGTCATGTCCGTCGCCTGTTCTCGCCCTGATCCCTCCTCCGCCATCGCCACCGCAGCAGCCTTCGCCGCTGCCGTCGCCGCCGCAGCTGCAGTCGCCGCCGCAGCAGCCGTCACCTCCGCCGCTGGGGTTCGTGCGTTCTGGAGGTGCTGGAGCGGGTGCTGGAGCAGGTTCTCGGTTTGGGGGTGCTCGCATGGAGCTTCTTAGAGGGAGTCATGGTGTTGCTGGAGGTTATGGTGTTGGAGTCGGGCAGCAGCAGTCGCAGTCCCCGCCAGTGTCTGCTCTTCGCCTCCTCGGTCTTACCTCCCCTGACCGCCCCCCGGTGCCTCCTTCGTTGCTGCCGCCTCCTCCGCTGCCCGTCTACGGGCCCGTGTTTCCTCCACCGGACTCTTCTCTGGTGCGTTTCCCTCCCCGTCCTCCTCCTGTGTCTCCTCCCCTCTCTCCCGACCCCACTCCTCCGTCTCACG